CATTAGCTGGGACCCATTTTCACGTGGTTTTATGCGGGGTCCTTTTTGGCGCTAATTTTTGATAGCGAAACGTTTGTACGGAGGACGCGTATACTTGGCGTTTTTTTCCTCTTTTTTTAAAAAGGTAATTGTGTATTTTAAAAATTACGTGAAAGTATTGATAATACTTGGATAGCCAAATCTGTCGAGAATAGACTTTGAAAGAGTCTGTTGCAAATTTTAACGATTGAATGTCAGCAGAAATATAATAAAATCACTTAATATATTAGAACGTTTATTGCAAAAACTGAGCAGAATCTGCTGCTTCGTAAATATCAAATATTTAAATGATAGATTTTGCTCTATTGACATATAATTTGCTGCTAATTTATAGAAATAAAACGTAAATTTAATGCGGACGTAAAAAGTACCAAATCTCTTAAAATATCTGAACAAATCTGTTGAAAAATCTACTGTCAATCTATTGACTTATGACAATTTGTTTACCGAATAATTATGTTAAACTGTTAAAATTATGTAGAAAATTTAAGAATGGTAATAATCGTTTAAAAAACTATTGATATTCCGATAACTAGCACGAGCATCTTATACATATAATACTTATAATTATTTTGATAGTTCAACATAATTATCTGTATCTGTTTAATTTCTATATTCTTCAGCAAAACTGTTCTTCTTGTATAACTATTATATTTTGATAAATTCCTTACTTGGAGAAGTTTGTGATGTTTTGCAAAACGGACATCGTTATATTTGCAACCTTATTATCACAGCCTTCGATAGTAGTCGGCAATTTAGGTGGCATCGGGCGTGGCTCACCGAAAACAATCCAGGATAAAAATGAAAATGCCATGAGTGCACCAGCTATTGCACCGCCTTCCGTTGCCGTCTCCGTGCCCATGCCAAGGGTGAAAATACCTAACAATGGACCGCCGATTATTCCAAAAATAGTTAAGGAAGCCTACAATTAAAGAAATTATGTTATCGCCATGGGTCTTTTGTTTAAAAATATTAATGTGCATTACCTGAAGTAGTCCGCCCAAAAACTGCGCTAAAAATGCCAGAGCTATGGAAATAATACCGAACGTAAAAGTGAGTATTTTCGCGATAATTATTAACTTTGCAGAAGAGAATTCATGTCCAACGCAATTTTTATATACGGGTTTCACGTAATCTTCTAACGTTACTGCCGCCAAAGAATTTAGCGTCGCAGAAATTGTGCTAAGGCCTGCGCTAAAAATACCTGGAAATATATAGAAAATTCAAGATTATATGAATATTAGTGTTATAAAATTTTAAAAAATTTATAAAAATTTATAAAAATTGCAAGAAAAATTGTACCAGATAGTAATGCAAGTATATCTACTGCGTACTTTTATTTAAGATTTAATTTCATTTGTATTCTGAGAATTATTTATTTTTATAATCTGTGATATGTAACTTCCATAAAATATTAAATCAATTCATGATAAAAGTATTACCTGCAACGAAAAGGCCTGGTACGCCGGGCATATTGGACATTGTGTCCATAACATAGAGTGGCATAAGCATATCAGGTGAAATAATTCTTTTCTTGAGAATTGGATCGCAATTGTGGTATTTACTATATATCGCCAATCCTGAGAAGCTAATTGTGATAAAAAAAAGTACTAGAATGGGCCAAGTCAGGCATACAGTTCTTTGCGAGGTCTGCATATTTCTAAAACAAAATTTAATTAATGCGGCTTTCTACAATTTTTTTCAATCAATCTAATTGATAAACAATTAAATCGCAATTAAATCGGTGATGTTATTATAAAAGATTATTTAAAATAAGAGGTTAAGATTATTTAAAATAAAAAAGCAGCACGTTAATTGCAATGCAATAATAAAAAGCAAAATAAAGAGCAAAAGTAAGATGTAGCATTGAACAAATTGATTAATACTTTCTCTAATACAATTATTAGTATTGTTTAAATTACTTACTTTAGAGTCATTATACGCTGTATTTGTACTTGACTTACGCCAAAAAGTATTAAATATGTACCTAGACCACCAAATGTAAGAGACCACCAAGTATGTCTTACTGTTGGATCCAGATCAGTACTATAACAAAAATAAAATATCATTTTTCAGAGGGTATGCATACATTATTTATCGAACTTATGCATTAATATAAATAAATTGATATAATACTTATCAAACTCGAGTCGTTGCTCCCGCCTCGCGATTTCCCAGATCTGCCCTAATCCTCCGACATCATTCGCGGCTGTGCCAATAATTAGGAGCATGGAGATAAACATAAGTAGACCTTGAAATACATCGGTCATTAGCACTGCCTTAATGCCGCCTGTACTCGAATAGAAGGAACATACAAGGCCAATAATTATGATACTGGCAGTCTTAGACATTCCAGTGGTCGCTTCCAACGCCAGAGAAGGAGCATAAAGTACCACTCCTGAATACAAAAGCATCTGAAGCCAGTAAACGCAACTAGCCGTCAACCTAGCTCTTATTCCGAAACGCTTTTCTAAGTACTAAAAGAAGTAATATGTCTTCAAATATACGTGCCATCGAAAATTTTCTGTAGTAAAATTAAATTTCACTAGACTCACTTCGTAAGCGCTCATGGCCTGCAGTTTGTAGAATACTGGTAGAAATCCATAACACATAATTAAAGTGCCTAACAGATATGCTACGTTTATTACAATAATATGCGTCCCGTATATGTAATTCTCAGCGGACAAACCGAGCAGTGATATGCCAGACAGAAAGGAGACAACTATAGCGACAGCGACTGGAACAATCCTCATTGATCGATTTGCAATGAAGTATTCCTGTAAAACACATTAATCTTTATTACAGCAAGGCAAAGAAAAAAAATGTAACCTTGTTTTAAGATTTTTTTAAATAAGAAAATCTAACAATAATAAGTACCTCCGTAGTTTTTTGACGACCTCCACTAAATCTGTAATAGATACCAATTCCAGCACTTATACATAGCATTACCGCTATAACCAGATAGTCGATCCATCCTAAAGTATTTGTTTTCGCCATTTCATCTGAAATATTACACCGACATAACTGTATTGCGTAAAAGAACAAAGATATATTTAAATAAATATGACTCATTTAGATGCTCGAAAATTAAACTGAATTAATTATATTTTAATTTAAAATTCTACCCTAGCAATTGTTTGTAGGACAAATTAGCATAAAGAGAGCAATATATTTTCTTTTATTTAATAAGATGAAGATTAATTCAATAAATAGTTATAAATTATTTTGTGTAACAAGTTTTAAAAATAGGAAAGGCATAATTTTTTATTTTAAAATTTCCGCGATATTTTTAATTATCAAGCTTGTAATAATGTTTAAGCTCAACTTTAATTTAATACAGCATGTGCAATAAACAACGCATAAAAAAAAGAAAAAGTAATATAATATGTAAATGTTAAATTATCTTTAATTTGGACACGTTTTTCTTTACTTTAATGTTGTACGTATAATAAAAGTTAGTTTAATAAAATTTATATTTTTACACCGAGATTAAAATAATACAATAGAAGCTGCTAAATATTGTTCAAATTAATTAAGTTTGTATATTTTTATTTATCACAAAGACATTTTAAAATGTAGTTTGTTCTTATGATCCGTTGTTTCACAAACCAATCTTGTGTAAGCTGATAACACGAAATTATCTCTATTGGATTTGTCACTAAGCACGGCAATCACGTCAAATTATCTTGCTCAATTATTGACTCCGTTATTAATTGATGGAATTCCTTCTTCCTTTGCCATATGTGTATTCTTTCACCGCTGAGATATGCGAGCGTAGTGTAAAGTAGTGAGCAACAAGTAGCTCAACTGTCGATTTCATAAATATTAATATCGGTTTCGTATCGATAATACATGTCGATCGTGTCTGTTTCTCCTATTCCGCGCACATTTCATGGCATAACACGTCAGACAAATGCGGACCTTCGATTGTACTTTGCATCCGTTTGACTTGCCGTTCAACAGAAGAATTAACTCGCCTACTTGTTTAGCATTATGTTTTTATACTTGCATGTCGATAAAATTAATGCAAAAATTTGTGAATAAATTCGAATATTCGAAACATCGTAAGTTCTCCTTTTATATCATTACACATTCGTATTTTTGTATATATATTTATAATATTTTGTATATTTTTACTTATATTTTTTATTGAATGTATATGTAAAGTTGTAATTTAATTCAGTTCCATATTTAAACACTATCACTCTTATATTCACCGCATAATGTTACAGTGTGTAATAATTGGTACGGAATACGTAAGAAATAAATCATGTTTAGGAAATTTCCGCAATTTAATAAAAACTGTATTGCAACATTCGCTTATATTTCAAAAATTACACAGAAAATGTTTTGAAACAATTTAATTTATACTGATACTTTCACATTATACTTTACATTATACTTTGTAATTTTCTGATAGCGGGGACACAAACACGCATTTACATACACAAATGGTTGTCGCTAATCATTTATATGTAAGTACATGTTATAATGTCACAAATATCATGATAACACTTTACTGCCTAATTTAAACACAAACATGCAAATTAATGTTTTATTATTAACTTAAATATTTGTTTTCTTATAAATTTATTCATGGCAGAGGAATATAATAAAAGATAGATTGCACAAATTGAGCAGATGAATCAACCGTGTATAACATATTTTATTTATATATCATGATTTATATATTTGTGATGGTAATGTCTTACCATCTACATACGTATAATCATTGAAATTTTCATTTACAGGTTATATTTAAGAAACGAAAAAAAAACAGTAGGGAAAAAGGTGAATAAGGAAAGGTAAAGGAAAATAAGAAGATATTAAATAAATCTTTATCATTCACATTATTTAATCATACAGATCGGAAGAGCACACGT